GCTGTGAATACTTCGTGTGCTGCCTTGCAAGCTTTTTTCTCGTTAATACAAAAATATTTTGTGATGGTGCACAGGAAATTTCAATTGGAGATTCTCCAGGTTAGTGTTTGTTCTGAAGATATGATGCATTTATTCAATCAAACCTTTGTCAGCTGTTCCACCCCTTTGACCTTACACATTCTATTACAATGAATTTTGCAGTTTTGCACACTTTTTTAAAAAAAAGTCAATAACTGTTAGGAAATTTTACTTGAATACTCAGTACCTACAATGTTTTAAAAACAGACATTACACATGACAGAGGAAACCAGAGTTGCAATAAATTCTCAATACTGTGTGTATATGATGATGTGTAATTTTAAAAAGCAGAGCTTGTCCCAAATACATTGTTTGCTATTAAAAAACAAACCACCCAGCAAATTAGAGTTCTAAACTGACAGCATTATATTACTTGTTCATAGGGCTATAGCCAGGAGTAGGGCTTGAGGTTCACTTTCAGTGTAGAATTGACATGCCCGGACTGCACATGACTTAAGAGTACAACTACTGTTGCATACAGATGTGAAGTAGCTGACAAAATGTTTTCTCTAAAGTATGCCATGAATAGCTGTCCCCAAATTGACACTTTTTTTAGGATGTAATACACCCCCCCACCCCCCCTTTAATTAACTTATTGGTGCTGATGTTGAAGGTCATTAGCTGTGTTCTCACCTAGGTAACAACTGCCTATGGAATCTGTAAGGGCCCTGTACAACAGCATTAATGGTAAGAACTGGAATGAGACAAGGCAGGACTTCTGGTAATTACTATTGGTAAACAAAGGTATAAAGTGCTTTTTTTTTTTTTTCTGGTGTCTGTTGGTCAGTTTTGCTCATCAGATTCACAGTTCTAACTTCTAACAAAGCTGATAAATATTTTCTGACTTGTAGGTTTAATTAGACTTTACTAGCTTAATGGATCAAGATTGCTGGTGCCAATGCTCATTTTTCCTGCTGTTATTGACGAGCAGGAGGTGGTTACCTTGGGCCGTGATGTTTAACTCTTACCCTTCGAATCATGTTTCACCTTGTCTGTTTTTTAACAGTTGAAAGTTGTGTTGGCTAATAAACAAAAATGTTCATGCTTTAAAAGTATTTGGATATTGACACTGCTGCGTGTCCCACTTTGGATAATAAAAATTGGATTGGTGCGGTTCTGGTATGTAACGCTGCGGGCCAGATTGGAAATCACAACGCGATGGGCTTTTGCACTGTTATTTTTCCTTTGGAATGTGAAGGTTGGAATGAGGGTTTTGATTTTTTTTGAATGTTTCAATGTCTTTGAGAAGCCTTGCTTACATTTTATGGTGTAGTCATTGGAAATGGAAAAATGGCATTATATATATATTATATATATAAATATATATTATACATACTCTCCTATACTTTATTTCAGTTACCACCCCCATAAAGTTGACAAGAATTACTATGACTGAAAGGTTTTTGAGTCCTTGTTAAAACTTTATTTATGACAGTATTCATAATTAGCTTGAACTGCATTCTGTAGGTAATCTTTCCTTGAGTTTCTGGACTGTATGCTTAAACCTTTTTGGATGTGCAACAGCTTACATGTCTGAAATTACTTGAAGGCATCACTTTGGTAAGAGCTTACTGTTAGGCCCTTGAAGCATCCCCTAGTCATTGGTAGCCCCACTCAAAATATTTGCCACAGCTATTAAAGGGCAGTTGTATAAATAGCATCCGGATTTCGTTCCTGTGGCACACATTGTAAGTGGAGTACATGCAGCATCAGATGTTTCAGCTTTCAAAAAAAAAAAATTTAAAAAAAGGATGCTAGTGTGCAAGTTCCATGTTTAGTCATAGCAAATGTGTGCAATATGTTAACGATGCCTGTGGTTGCCACGAAGTGCCTCGTTTACCTTTTAAATGCTGTTAGAAAGTGTCGTGCATGCAGATGGATGGGGTGGAACTGTGCACTAAAAGGGGCTCCAACTGCAGTGTTTGGCAGAGCTGCCTTTCTCTGCCGGTTCAAATTTTCAGTCTGTTTTCATATAGCATATATATATATAGATACTAAAAGAAAAAAAAAATCAGTCTGTTAAGCAGCCTTACTCTGATTCAGCCTCTTCAAATACTATTGTGCTGTGCAACAGTGGCTCTGTGTGTAATGCTATGCACTGAGAATACACAAAAACCAAGTATGACATGTACAGGATAATGCCTCATACAAATCAGATGTCCGTTTGTTATTGTGTTTAACAACCCTTTATCTCTTAGTGTTAAAACTCCACTTAAAACTGATTAAAGTCTCATTCTTGTCACTGTGTGGGTGTTTTATTGAAGCATTTTGAGTGTGGAAACGGTCAGCTAAAGTATTTTGCTTGTATTTGAGTGTGATCATTAGAGCAAAGGATGCTCCTTGTGCATCAAGGGATTTTAAGGGAACTGCAGCTTAAAACCCTCTTCTGTTCAGAAGCTTTAAACAAGTGTGGGCATTGGAAGTGCAGATTGTGTGCGCTGAGATCAAACCCTTCACTGTGACACTGTCACGGGGAGAGGCAGGACCGCTTTCCTGGGAAACCATTTTTAGCCTCCAAGTAAGAGAACTCTTTCTCAAGCGCGCATTACGTCATTTTTAATGTGGATTGGTGTGTCTCCAGCAAAATGAGATGCGAGTCAAACCTGAGAAGTCTTTTCATAAATAGCTTTAAGCTGGCAATGAGATGCAGTGGAAAAAGCACGCTTGACTGAGTGTGTAGTTTGGAGGTTCTGTTCTTGTTGCTCATCTATTTTCAAATGAGACTGAAAACCAGCACTTTACTAAACCATATGTGGTGGTCTCCTTTTGTGTTAGGGTTACCCTTGGAGACTCTAGGAAAGAGAGACTGATAGCTCAGTGGAGAGCCTGTGTGTTTCTAGTGATGGCGAGGAACCAGGGCGTTGTTGTGCACCCCATGAGTCCGAGGGATGCTGAGTCAGGTTACTTTAGATGCCTCTTGTTCTTCCTTCCTGCTGCTGCTAACATCGGCCCCGTATCATATTTGGCTGAGCTTCTCCAAAAAATGTGCCTATTCGGTAGAGGTTTGGTGCTGTGGCCTGTTCTGCTCTTTGGTGGTAAGAGAAGTGGAAAGTAGTTTTGGTGCTTTATGAGGGTGGAGTGTTTGCCAGCGGTGTCTGGCCCTTTCAGGTCAATGACACAGTTAAGGGCTTTACATCATTTTAATAAGTCAGGAGGTGGTATTACCCAATCTGTTAATACACTTTCCTTTTTTCGGATAAGCTTGTTTTTCATCCAGAAGATGAAAGTAGAGTTGGGAAGGTGTATAAAGGAAGCTTTAAGGAAAGTAGTCTGGACTGTTCAATGTGTTGAGTAGCTTCTATAAATATATAGATCAAGATACACAAAGGGATTCTAGTCTGAAGCCAGGTAAGAAGTGCTGTTGGAATGTGGACAGACTATTGTATTTGACTTACGCACTCGTCTTGTTGACTAAAAGTCCCATGCTCCAGTCCTTAGCAGCTGAAAGCCGCTTCTATAAAAAAAGTGTTAATTTTTTCCATTTATGGCTACGCCTAGGAGTGCTCTGGTGACTAATGTGGTGGTTGCACTTCCCAGCATGGTGCTGGGTGCCTTTATGGGGGGTGCTCCCCTGTGCTCCATCCCTGCACCTGGCGTTTCCGCATCATGGCCTGACCACCTCTCCTGTGGAAAGCTGCAGCAAGGGTGCCCTAGTGAGCTTCTGCTACCACTGGTGTTGACAGCAATCAGGGACTCTGCTTATGCAGGTCTCTTTTTAAAACAGCCATGGAGTGATCGTTAATAGTTAACTGCATCCTTTTTAAACACTGCAGCTGGGCTTATAAATTACACTCCTTTATTAAGGAATTATGTTGGTAGCAGACTCTTTTAAAACACTTTTTTTTTTTTTGCCATTGTTTGGCAATTTGGTTATGAAATGGGTGATGACATCCGCTCGTGATGATCTTTCTCTGTTAGTCTAAAA